ATACTTTAGAAGACATGAAATGAAGCGACAAGATAAAATAAAACTTGGATTCTAATTGGCTATGTTGGGGAGGTCGGAGGGAATGAACATTCCAATTGGCCCGTGTTGGGTAGTATGCACAGACCAGATTTTTTAGGGGCGACATCAGTGTAAGAACATTCTCTTCAGAACCACACGGCGTGGGTCTCCCACAAGAAAAAGAGACCCTGCTACGAGAGGGCAGAGGCCTGGACGGCAGTGCGATGGGCTTACAAATGTCCATCACCTCAGGTCGCCGAGCCTCGTTCTACTCCCATAAGACCAGCAGAGAGGCTGGAGACGTCTTCATTCATTGGACGTCTTGACCCAAAGAGGGTGGAACTGGCTAAGGATTGGAACCCCTCCCCCCCCAAAAAAAAAGTCACAGCCACTGTTAACTCTGTCCCTTTTGGCCAGGAAAGTGTTAACAGCGGGACTGAGGTCTGTCCCGTGTTGTGAAATGGCGCCCCTGCCCCGAATTCCTACAGGTCCGCCATCTTGGACTCCTTAAGGGTGAGGTGGGGGCATCTGTTGCGTCAGGATTATCTGGTATTTTGAAGGCTCTGCCCTCTGAGGATTACCGCACCTGTGGGATTGTCTGATTATCCCGGGCTTGGGGTTTATCCCCCACATGCAGGGAGCTTCGGTCGCCTGGGTGTTCCTCATGCCTCTTTTCCCGCTGTCTTGACAGCTAAGTGCGTCTTTGACTCAGCTCTAGCGCAGGAAAGGTTGAGGTGTGTTCCTGACCCTTGCTGTTTAAAGAACTTGAGGAAGGTCTTGTGAAGGGCAGGGAGTTCCTGTTTGTCCTTGAAGCGCTGCTCCCAAGGACGATAAGAATAGTGGTACTTGTGTGTCAGGAGTTGACAGGACAGTTGGCGCCTGTGTTTTAGGACCAACGGTACTTTCATGCCAATGTCCAATGGGCAAGATGGCCCCTGTCCTAGGGGCTGATGGGAAGGGTGGCCCCTGTGTCCCAGGGGCTGATGGGAACTTTGGGTCCCGAGTCACAGGAACTGATCGGCTGATTGGGTCCTGAGTTGCAAGGGCTGATGGGAATGGTCGACCCTGTGTCTCAAGGGCTGATGGGAACAGGGGGTCCTGAATCCTAGGGGCTGATGGGAATGGGGGCTCATGTCCCAAGGGCTGATGGGACGGATGGGGCCTGAGGTTTCAGGGCTCGGTGGGAATTGTGGTAGCTTAGTGTCAGGAGCTGAGGGAGTTGATGGAGGTGGCAGTCCCTGTGACTCATCGAGCAATGGGACATGCCTCCTGCATCTCAGTAACGAGTGGGAACTGTATTCTCTTATCCCAGAGGCTTACGCAAGCCCCAGACTGATCCACAAACCGTTTGTCAGCCATCCATCTGTCCGTCCGTCCCTGCAGCAAATGCTGGCCTGGGCCCCTGCTCTGAGCCACGTCCTATGTCGGGGTACGGAGGACACAGAGATGACTCAGACCTGGATTGTGCCCTCAGTGACCTCCTGCAGACAGACCCAGACAAAAACTCACAGCACATGAGCTCAGGGCCAGGAGAGGACAGCTCGGCGCTTTCTGCACCAGCCCGGCGACAGGGCATCTGGGGTGAACATGTAGCAGTTGTCGCTCTGGGTACTAAACCAAGGGGCAGGGTCTGACAGAAGATTCTCATGAATGATGTGTGACTGTGATATGTGTCCAACTGCAACCCCTGGTAGCCACATACTGTCAAAGAGGCAGCCTGCCCCCCAGAAAAGAGCATGGAACTTGGAGCCAGGGAGGCCTGGGTTCGAATCCTGGCTCTGGCACTCACTGTGTGACCTTGGGCAAGGCCCTGTCCAGAGCCCCGACTCCTCATCCTTATCACGGCTGTGGACTGCTTCCGAGTGGGTCCCGACTTGAGGTGACTCCACTCACAGCAGAGAGAAATGCCGTCTGGTCCTGCAACACGGGGACCCGATCTGGTCCCCACGATGGACTCAGACTGGAGTCTGAGCCACAGATGTCGTGATCCCCGTTTTTCATTGGCTGATCTTCAAAAGTCAGTTGCAGGCCTTCCTCCCTGGTTTTACTGTGAAAGCTCCCCTGACAACTGTTCAGCATTCCAGCCACTCACCGGCCTCCACGAACAGATGCTAGGCCCCCCATCCGCGCCCCCACCCCGTGAGCCGCACTGGCCGGGAATCGAACCCGGGTCTCCCACACAGAAGGTGACTCCTGCCACTGAACCACCAATGGGATCATCACAGTTGTGTGACGATTTCATGATACACGGCGTAGTGCCTAAGGCACTTGACTGCTAACCAGAAGGCTGGCGGTTCAAACCCACCAGCCACTCCTTGGAAGGAAGGTTGGGCAATCTACTTCCGTAGTGATACCACCTTGGAAACCCAAGGAAGGGTCGCTATGAGTTGGACCAACTTGACGGCAGTGCATTTGGTCTTTGGCTTTG